TTGCTTGTGTTCCCTCTCTCGCTGTGTCTCTCTGTCAAATAAATAAATAAAATCTCTTAAAAAAATAAAATAAAATTTGCAAATATTTGGAAAACTTCAGTAACTTTGGATGGAATTTAGCATATAAAAGTAGGGGCTTTTGAGTTCTACGGGAGTTCATGAGAAAAAAAATCACAAGTTACTATTGAAAGATATCGTTATATTGCCTATAGTATTTATACACTGAGTACTTTTGTTCCAGTATAGATACTCCTGTTTAATGGATGAATTTTGAAGTCTGTTCATTGTGGAAAATGCATTCACAGAAAGCATAGTTAGCCTTCTGGAGTTAAAGAAAATAGATGAGGTGTATCCTAATCCCATCATGTAAATGTGAAGGGAATTTCAAATATATTACTCTGTGTGATCTACCCCTTGTCACCCCCACATAACCCTGTGAAAAGTCCAGATGTACTTTGGTAACTGGGTTTGATAGATCAGGACTCTAAGAATCAGTATGTTTTGTGACTGGCACAAGATCACACTTCATTTTTTTTTTTTTTTTAAGATCACACTTTAAAGGGCTGAAGTAGGCTTGGAATCTTGGAATTTTTACTCTTAGAAGAGGGTATTCCCCGGAGTGCCTGGGTGGCTCAGTCGGTTAAGCATCCGACTCTTGATTTCGGCTCAGGTCATGATCTCGGCTCAGGTCATGATCTCGGGGGTCCCAGGATGGAGCCCCGCATTAGGCTCCCTGCTCAGTGGGGAATCTGTTTCTGCCTCTGCCTCTTCACCACCCCCTCGTGCACTCTCTCTCAGATAAATAAATAAAATCTTAAAAAAAAAGAAAAAAGAAGGTTTTCCCCCCGAAATCATATTGGCTCTGTACTCTTAAAAAAGAAAACAATACATATTTGCTGGCCATTCTGGTTGTTGAATGCAACTTTACTTACATCACTTTACTTACATCAATCACTATAATTGAGCTGGACTTGATGTGAGTAACGTCACTGACAGGACCACTGAGATGGACCAAATGCATGACACAGAGACACCACCAACACCGTTCTGTTCCATTTCCAAAGGCAGGTTCCGAGATACTCTAATTTAGGGAGGCAACTTTTGTGTATAATCAAGCACAACCTCTTTTAAAGAGAGAAGGTGAAGAACAACTGAAAGTTCTCTATGTTGGGTACTTGAGGGTATGAACTTTAGCACAGAGCAGAGACTGAAACAGAGCATTTGGAAACTTACCAATGGCTATTGCTTTGAAAAGTGGAATCCCACTCCCTCCTCACCCTGACCCCCTACCCTCTCTCTCCCTCTCTCATGCGTGAGCAAGCATATACACACACACACACACTCCTAGTCCCAAATTAGTTAGCTGGCTTATTTCTGAAGTGTGACTAAGCTGAAACATTCTTGCAGAGAGTGATTTTTCCCTTTCTTCTGCCTCTGGAAGAAATCAGAAGCCAGAAGAATTCAGAAGAAAAGGCAGCTGACTAAACATGGGGATGGAGCTTGGTGGAGCTTATTGTAAAACCTTAGTACTCTGGGAAAGTGTGCGGGTTTCTTTATATCCTGATGTGTTTGCAATTCTCTACAGTCTGCACAGTGTTAGAAACTTCAACTAAGCTGCTACCATCACAAAAACTAATCAGTAACGACTCTATGGAAGAATAAATTCTTGAGGCTTTTTGGATAAGTTATCTTGACGGAATTTCAAACTTACAGAAAAATTACAAAAATAGTACAAAGAACTCCTAGAAACATTTTACTCAGATTCACCAATTGTTAACATTTTGTCCTATTTCCCCTCCAACCCCATGCCTCTGTCTCTGTCTCTCTCTCCATTTATAGTATTTGACACATTATTTCCCTTTACATCTTTATACTCAGTATATGTTTCTTAAGTACAGGGACATTCCCCACCGTTAGCCCAGTGCTGTTATCAAAATCAGAAAATTTAACATTGATACCATACAATTATCTAATCCACAGTCATAATCAAATTTCATCAATTAACCCAAAAATGCCCTTCTGAGCTATTTTTTTCTCAGTCCGGGATCCAGTCTGGATTCATGAATTGCATATGCATTGCATATGCCTTTTTTAGATTCCTTCATACTGGAACGGTCCCTTAGCCTTTCTCTGTCTTTCATAACCTTGATATTTTTGAAGAGTACAGGCCACTTATTTTGAGAAGGTTCCTCAATTTCAGTTTATCTGACTCTCCTCATGATTTAAAAAGGCAAGTCAAGCAGTTTTTGTCAGCAATTTCACAGAAGCGGCGCCGTGTCCCTCTCAGGAAATCCTATCAGGAGACAGATTACCTTTGTTTGTCCGGTGATTAGCAATGCTGTCCTTGATCACTTGCTTAAGGTGGTGCCCAACAGTTTCCCCACTGTAAAGTTACAGTTTTTCTCTTTGTATGTAATTTTCAGAGAGATTCTTTGAAACCACTCAGATACCCCTTTCTTCAAACTGTCGCCCTCTTGTTTTGGTATCCACTGATGATTTTTCTAAAGCCATCATTCCTCCTAAAATCAATAATAGGAAATCTACTGTAAAAAAACCCAGCTTCCCCTACCCCCCCCATATATATATCAGAATAAGGATTTGTGGATTCTTATTTTAGTCAATGGGTTATAATTTCATTATTTACTTTGACATTATAATTCCCCCAGATTTGACCAGTGGTAGTCCACTCAAGTGGGCTTCTGTGTCCTTTGACTTGTTCCCATGATCCCTTGAGGACTTCCTTACTTTGGGGCAAAGCAAGATGTTCCAGGATCATCTTGGACTTTTCCTGACTCCTCACTAGAATTGGCCATTTCTCTAAGGAGTCTGGTTCCTTTGAGTGGAGAGTGGTATTTAGAAATCATCATCTGGGAACTAGCTGTGCTCATTTGCTCCAAGCTTGTCAGTGCTCCTAGTTCTGCTCGGCAGACAGAATTCAGAAATATATGGCTCAGTTTGGATTTTTATAGCCATCTACTTATATCTACACAAAAAATCATTGAATTTATACCAAACCCGCAATTACAATTCAATATCAAGGATACATTCTAGTCTTTCCCCTTTACAGATTTGTAACTCTCTTCCTCAACAGTGAGAAGCCTGCCTTCCGTTATTCTCATTTTTTTTTTTCATTTGCTGAAGCCTAGAATACAGAAAAGGTTGTTTCTGAATTGCTAACTATACTACCACAAAATACAACTTATTTGCTAGAACTTACTGCTCATTTACAATTATTTTTCAGTAAAATTTATGTATATTTGTTTGTTTAACCACACACAAACCTAATGGACACAATTCAATGAATTTTGACAAATGCATACATCTTTGTTACCCACGTCCCTTATAAGATAGATTTTTTTCAATCGTCCCAGCAAGTTCTCTCCCTCAGTCAATTGTCTCAAAAAGACAGCCACTTTTCCGGTTTTAATTTTTACAGATGAGGTTTCTTGGCTGAGCTTTGAGCAAGTAATTTTTATTTCTAGAGAGGTTTTTTTTTTAATAAATTAAAAAATATTTTAATTTCTTGTAGAAGGGTGTTGACCTATGGCATATTATTTCTTAGATCCATTAATGTATATAATACATCTTTGAACCAAAGTGAAATGCAGACTCTTACCATGGCCCCTGCTGACCAGCCAAACTCTTTTTTTGGCCCCAGTCCCTCTGGTTCACTGGACTTCAGCCACACTGGACACCTTTCAGGTCCTCAACCACATTAAGTTCATTTCTAGCAACCGGGCCCTTGCTGTTTCCTCTGCTAGAATACATTTTTCTTACGCTTACCCTGTCTGGCTTTTTGTCATCACTCAGATCTCAGCAAACCATTACCTACTCCAAGAGATGGCCCCTGACTATTTTACCTAATGGTGCTCACAATTTTTCCTAGGTTCTTCTCTGTCACTTCCCCTGTTTTATTTTCCATATATCTTTCATCACTCTCCTGATGTGTTTATTTAGTCTTTGTTATTCCCTTAGCCCCTAGAATAATCCCTGGCAAATGTGTTTGTGTGTGTGGTGTGGGGGCAGGGGAGGAGTATGGAAGGAAAGGGTTCAATAAATATTGGATGAAGGAAAGATCTAATGATTTAGCTTGGTATTCTTTTTCATGTACCTGAAGGACAAAATACTGTCCTTACCCAAATTGTTAATGAACATGTCAACATTGCTTTCTTTGCTTGCTGCTGCAAACTCCTCCTTTCTTTTCTAATTTTTACTTTGCTTACTCTTCTAATGAGCAAATATACAATGCCTTACTATGATATAACTATGTGTAAAAAACATATATAGTTTTTGATTTTTTTGAAATACTATTTCCACTTTGAAATGTTGGAAACATTAAAATTAACATTTTAATTTACACAGGCATTTGCCTGGTTAGAGCAATATAAAAAATGCTGTCTCTTTTCAAAAGCAGACTTTCAGCCTGGCCAAAGTTTGTTTCACCTGGGAGATTACTCAGAGCACTGCGTTTGTGTGGAAATGAAATTGGAGTTTGTCCCTGGTACAACATAAATAAGAAAGAATGTGTCATGAGGGACAGGAGCTGGGGATTCTGGAAGATACTCCTCTGCTCCGGGACAGGACACAGCTGCTCCCTCTCACAAGGACAATTAGAAACAAATCCTTGAGTTTGGCTTTGTGTTTATCTACTTGTTACTCGATGGCTTTCGGGTGGAAAGAGTGATAGCTCATAATTGGGTTTATTTTTGCTTATCTACAGTTCACAGATTTTTAGTTATGGCACCAAAATATCAAGGGATGCATATAAAAAATCTGAAGCAGTTTCCAGATATTCATTTATTTGTTAATCTGAAAAATCAAAAAAGACTATTTGATTGTTTTCTGGATAGATCAATCATTTTAAGAAATGCAGTATAATTATATAGTAGTTATTAACTATACACAATTGTAATCACACAGTTGACTTTTTGTATAAGACTAGAAACACAGGGGTTGTCAGAAGAGGTGACATGTATTTTGTTTGTGTGTTTGCTTCTAAGGAGCATAGCGGCCACTGATCACGAACCAACAGATGCCAGAAAATCCTTCCCTTGTTTTGATGAGCCCAACAAAAAAGCAACTTATACAATATCCATCATCCACCCCAAAGAATATAAGGCAGTTTCAAATATGCCAGTGGAGGTAAGTACTTTAAAAAATTTTTTTGTTTATGCAGATCGTCAATTTATAATATCAGGTAAGTTATCTTCTTTTGCTATGAGAGAACCCACTGAATTCTCAAATTAAATGTGCTCCCATAGTTCATTTAGAGGCTTGAAAACACATTTTGGCAATATTTTTTCTTTGAATCCTAAAAATCTTTAACCTAATGTATCATAGGTCAAAAAACCATGGTTGGGCTCCAAACAAGAATGACTACAGTAGACACTCCTCAACTGGGCTCTGCCTAACTGAAAGAACCCCTTAGTTCTGACAGACTAATGACAAACTCATGGAATTAGAGACTTAAAAATATTCCTGGGCCTGGTCACTGTTCTTGGTTTTCAGTTGAATATAAGCCCAGTGTTTAAGACAGAGCTACTGCAAAAACCCATCACTTAACTATTGGAGTATAGAACCAAGTCCAAGAAAACCCATGCCCATAGATTTTCTAGTAAACAAGTAGTCCTCATGAAACGTTAACAAAAAATAGGCTCCAGTAAGTTCTGTCTATATAATTATTGGCATAAGACTTTTTCCCCTGTTATCACTCCTCAACCACAGAACGGGTAATGCAGCTAACTAAAGTGTCATTACCTAAAGTTGGGGGTATTGTACCTGATACATATAATAAATGCACATATATTGACATGTAAAAAGGTCGGACTCATCCTTAGATATAATTGTCACCTACCTAATACCAGAAAAACACCCAGCCTAAATTATATCTCCCATCTTTCTGATCCACTATCTGAAATATCATCATTGAAATTCATCCCTTTTAATGATAAATATTCCTCCAAAAAACAAGAACAAAATAAAGCAAACAAAAGCTTTAGGAGAGTTAAAAAATAAATTGTGTCAGCCATCTGTGCCTCGTTTATCAATTTGTTTTCTTCTGGTGTTGGTCACCCGACCCATTGTGTTTTGACTGCAGAAGAAAGAGGAGAGGATACACTTAAAGTCTGACCCACTAATTTAGAAGACTGGGTCAGCATAAAAGGCCCTTTGAATGTTCCATCTGGAAGGAGGAGGGCAGGTGGGAGGAGAGAGGATGCAAACCTTACCAGCCTCTAGCTTTAGACCTCCCGGATGACCTTTGCATTTTGCAGAGTATATTTCCTCACCTGTTTGTTCCTCTGTTTGCAGAGTATGTTTCCTCACCTCATTGTTCCAGGCAATAGTCCCGGAAGAGGGAGAATATTCTGGGTCGTTAGGCGATCAAAACTGACATTGCTAGTTCTCATTGTAGAGTAACTTTGCCGGCGCTCGGACACTTCTCTCCCAGCACTTGGACTCGCAGACTTGCTTGTCAAGGAGGATCGATTCTAGTCCAGCCTGCCTCCCTTAACCCCCCCGTGAGAGCTTCCCAGCTTCCCCCAGTGGTGATCTACTGTGTGGCTGCAGGGCGTGTGGAAGTATTTAAACAATGGTAGCAGGAGTTGGGCAAGTATCCATGGATGGAGTAGGACCGCTGATTGGCAGTTAGGAAGACAAAGCTCGCATGGACAGCAAACCGGACAGATAGAATCCATAGCGACATCAAAGAATGAAATCCTTCTCTCTGTCCATGGTAACCAAGGCAGTGACTTTAGTGATAATACCTTGGCTCTTTGATGGGAGACCCCAGCGATGGGAAAGAGAACCCAGCACCCTGCTATGCCTGGTACAGCGACTGCCCTCCCACGTCCCTATCTGCTCCTCTCTTCCTGAGTGCCAGGCACGGAGCACCAGCCTTCTCGTCATTGACGGAGCTGGTCTCCCCTCAAATGTTATGGTCAGGATGGTGTATTTAATGGAGAAAGACAAAATCCTACATCACAGCCAAAGTGGTATTTTTCCCTGGGAAACCTCATACAATGCAAAGTTGAATCACTCTTCCACAGGACTAAAAATAAATGCCTTTTCCTTCAGTCTTTTTCTTACATCACCATTCAGGGGTAAAAAGAAATGTTATACCTAAGCTCTGACGAACTGGACTGAGAAGCCAGGTTTGGAGAAATCATTTGTCTGTCCTGTACATGATTCATCTTTTGATCAACAAAATGTTTTCTTTTGTTTCAATAGAAAGAAGAGATGATGGACGATAAGTGGAATAGAACAACTTTCAGGAAGTCTGTCCCTATGAGCACCTACCTGGTGTGCTTTGCTGTACATCAATTTGACCGTGTTGAGAGAATATCAAATCGGGGAATACCTGTGAGTCCCATTATATTTTTAAAAATTTCCTACCTATGCATTTGTGATTAATTTTCTATGTTTTTTGAATAGTTTTTCTCCTCACATAACAGACTGGGAAAGCCCACTAGTTCTCAGGGTCTGTGAGCTTGACGATAGATACGCTGAGCAATACAGAACATCATAAGCCAAAAGGATACATGTGAGAAATAAACAAACATGACCAGCATAGGAATGACTAGGTTTGGATTATTTTAAAAGGAAAGCTCACTATAAAGACAAAGCGAGCTCCTAAGTACATTGGCACAAGTGTATTAAAATATTTGAGCATGCCCAATTTAGTGAAGCGATTGAGTATGTGTGTTTGGGTGGGGTCCTGGATGGAGACCAGAGAGGGAAGAGGAGACCACAGGAAGATGAATACCCTTCAGAGTCTGCTATGCCATTCCTATATGTAATTCAAAATAAGACAACAACAGAGTGTCAAAAAATATTTTTTAAAGTGTAAGAGATAAATAAGCTTTTTAAAATCAAGATGACCAGGGTGCCTGGGTGATGGTTCAGTCGGTTAAGCATCTGCCTTCGGCTCAGGTCCTGATCCCAGGGTCCTAGGATCAAGGGTCTTGGGATGGAGCCCTGAGTGCGAGTCTGGCTGCCTGCTCAGTGGGGAGTCTGCTTCTCCCTCTGCCCATCCCCCTATTCATGCTCTCTCTCTCTCTCAAATAAATAAAATCTTGAAAATAAAATAAATAAAATTAAGATGCCCAATTCAATAATTTTCTTTTAAGAACACAAATACTTTACCTAATTTGTCTTCTCATTTTGGAGTCCCCCATTTTGCTTCTGCCCTAAACTCTTGCTTAATCTGTCTTTTGGTTCGTCTACCACTGTGCTACATATTATATACATAAAACCTCATACTCTTTGCAATATAACTTTCGAAGGAAAAAAATCATCGCTCCTATTTTACAGACGAGAGAACTGAAATTTACTATGTTCAAGTAATTTGCTCAAGATTACCCAGATGGCAAGTCATGGAGACTCAGATTCTTTCCAAATACCGTACCCTGCTAAACCTTCTGAAATATGATATTCTAAAAATGTCTTTACCTCTTTACCAATCGCTGGAAGGAAGGGATGAATTCCTCTATTTCCCGTGAAACTCCCTCCAGAGGGAATTTAATGTTGGATAGTAAGAGTCAAGCGTGGTTACCAGTGTGCTGCCTATACTATATCCAGATTATAGCAAGTGGGGGAATGTCCTACGACCTATTCAAAGGGGCTGTATATCCTGATGACTTCTGTCATCTCATACCACATGTGTTGCTTTGATGTGACCTTCCGTTATCGTGAAAAGCACTGCCGGGGGCTAATAGATAATATTAGGTGTAAAAAAGAAATGACACTGGGAAGAGGAAATTGTTTTTCTGTGCTGTGCTGAATGTCACCGCTGGTGCTCCTCCCGCACCATATAGAGGGGAAAGCATTAGTCCAGCGTCTTTTCTCTTCCCGTCTCATGGCAGTCATAGAATTTTCATCTGAAGGTTCTTTCTTCATTCCCTGCAGTTCAGTTGCACGAATGTCTTTCACCATGTGCAGGTGTTTTCCACACCAATTTCTAAACATGATGATTATGTTTGGGGCAAGTTTTTTTATTTTGGTAGAAATGCCAAGGCAAAGCAGAAAGCATAAACAATTCACTAATGATGACGTAATTTCCTAAATGAAGACCACGCAACCAACCAATCAGCAAAACGACATGTCCTTGGAGTTATTTCCCACAGTGACAGTGAGTTTGCATTGCCAATGTGACTCTGTCACCTGGTCCTCTGACCAAGGACACTTATTTGTAAGGTGGTGACACTGGCTGGTTGAGTCATGAGAGCCTGCACCAGTCAGTTAGCTGAGCTTGAATGATGGATTTTATATAAAGGATTTGGATTACATAATGGAAAATATGATTTGGCAAAAGATCCCAATGGCCTTTAAGCAGTAAATGTTTCTTAAATATCAGAGCTGAGCGCATAACATTCTATTGTAAATTTGGTGAGGTTTTCACCATTTGGGTGGGGAATGAACATTGTCATAATACATTGCTTTTTGATCATCTATTTTAATAAGAGAGGAACAGGAAGCCATAATCTTGTTGGACACTTCCCAGAGACTCAGGGTCAGGAGAAGGCAGTGAAAGTGAGGCATGGAGCTTAGTAAAGTAGCTCTTCCCCCGACCCCATCTACAGAAGACAGGCACCCAGGTTTTGCAGGAGGGCAAAATCTTCGCCCTCCTGCAAAAGCTGGTAAGGCTGTTTTCTACAAAAGGTGAACAGAACCTTATAAGAAAACTTCTAAGGCATCTAGTGTGAATGTCAGTTTATGGTAAATTCTGCCTCATTGGCATTTGAGAGGTTCCCTGCCTGGCTTTTCCTTCCCACCCCCTCTAAATTGAAATATAACAGTTAGCACTGGAGCACAAATGCCCCAGTGCAATTTCCCACTCCAGAAAGAGTTACAAGGAAACCAGCCTACTTAAATCAACCTAAATGTGACATCAGCGGGAACACGAACCAGCCTCAGTGCTGCATTCTTAGAGCTGAACAGACAACTTAAGATAAACAAGCATATGAGGAAAACAACAACATAAAAGAGAAAACCCAAGACAAATAAACAGAAAAACACAGTGGGGGCAAGTAGTAATAATTGGGGAAAGTAAAGAGAATTCCCAAAAAAAGCCATAAAAAATCAAACCTTTTCATACATACAACCTTCAGTTATGGCTCTCAGAGACTCAAGAAGATACGATCACTGTAAAATAGAACAGAAAGCTATAAGAAAATAATCGGAAATCAGTAGCCCGAGTTTAAAAACATGATTTACAAAGCATAACCAGGCCCTGACCCCCGGGAACCTGTTACCAAGTACCAATTAGCCTATGCCTTCAGTTCTGCCCACTGCTTTGTATTTTTATCAAGTCCATGGAGATTTTGTTTAAAGTCCTAATGTGTCTTGTGAGTTTTCCATTTTTCCTTTGCATCTGTCATTCCTGAATGCGGCGATTGAAAAGCATGAAGCACAGGCCTCCCAGCCAACCACACGTTGCCAATACTGACTTTATATTGCATGGTGTTGGCATATTCTCCTTTTCTGAGATTCTGACTCCATAATAGAAGTATACATCCTTTGCCCAATGCATGGGGAACTGCATTTTTTTTCCCTCTCCTGCAAAAACCCATCTTATCAGTATCCATCATCATTTTCCTCTATGCGGAGCTCACCTGACAGGCGATGTATTGTTGCTTTCCTGCCATTCACCACAGAGAAGGCATTTTCTTTTCTGGAAACCATGGCTCAGCCTCATGGTTAGCAGTGTCATGTACGGTCACGCGGACGGTTGTACTCCTGCAAGCTGGACTTAGTATACTGTCTATATACTGGACCTTCCAACTGTTAAGAATCAGTGTAATAATTTTCTTTCATTCCTGTGGGAAGCAATTAATACTCCACTGCATGTTTTCCACACTGATGTTCATTCCTAAATCAAACATATAGGCATTTGTCAGTTTTCAGTGATTTCATTACTAACATAACACACTTTTTAATGGGAATCTTTCCACCTAGAGCCCTGGTATTATAGTGCTACGATAATTCTTCTTAACTTTCTCTTTCATCCTGTCAGCTCTGGATAATACCCCAGTAAGGGTGCAGAACAGGGGAAGCAATCGGGTCACTGATGAAGAATCCTAGATGAGCCCACCGCTCCTGGCTCACACAACACCGAGCTCATGCAAAGTAGGAGAAAATACCTCAGTTACAAAGTTTCTCTAAAGAAAAAAAAAAAAAAAAGATCAGATCTTCAGGTTACTGTACCATCTTGACCCAAAGTCCCTTTACTTCTATTTCAGTTAAAAAAAAAAACAAAATTAGGTGGTTTTTGTGTAATACAACTCTTTTAGTAGAAATTTCATGAACCAAAAGACAATTCTTTTTTTTTTAAAGATTTTATTTATTTATTTGAAAGGGAGAGAGAGAGAGAGAGCTCGCACAGCAGAGGGGGGAGGGACAGAAGGAGAGGGAGAGAGACAAGCAGACTCCCCACACAGTGGGGAGTCTGACGTGGGGCTTGATCCCAGGATCCTGGGATCAGGACCTGAGCCGAAGGCAGACACTTAACTGACTGAGCCACCCAGGTGCCCCCAAAGACCATTCTTATCCACTTTGTTCTGACAGTATTATTCTGGTACATTTGCTATTCATAATCAGATTATATCGTGCAATCAAGAATCAGTAGTACCCTGATTAAACTCTCTTGGGTATGTTTGCCTTTCTGGTATAGTTCCTTTGTATCAGTAAACACAGAATGCAGACCTATATTCTTCTTGTTTACTGGCGATTGCACAGTGGATATTAGTAGTTGAACCATTCATTATGCTTGAAATGTCCTTGTTACTCATGAGAAAAAATTAGATTAGAGTACTCATCCCCAAAAATTGTTAAGAAGAAGGGTACTGAGTTTGGAAGGTAGCTCAAAAGACTTTGAAGTTTAACTCTGTATATTTCCTTTTTTGAATATTATTTGTATTACATTTTGATTCAGTCCTAAAAATCCAGAATAACTTGAAGAGATACTCCAAGTAATTTAGCAACAATTGAGGCCAGCCATTGATGGAATGACTTTAAACTCTGTTGGTAAGAAATCTCCTGAGGCCTCTTTCAGGTTTAGTTGATTGTTTAAGGGTTTTAAAGTAAATAAAATCTTCAGGTATTTATCCAAAGAAAATGAAAACACAAATTCAAAAAGTTATGTGCACCCTCACTTCACTGCAGCAGTATTTACAGTAGTCAAGATATGGAAACAGCTTAAGTGTCCATTGATAGATAAATGGATAATTACACACACACACACACACACAATGGAATATTATTCAGCCATTAAAGAATGAAATCTTGCCATTTGTGACAACATAGGTGCATCTTAAGTGCTAAGTGAAATAAGTCAGACAAAGAGAGACAAATAGTGTCTGATT